TTTTAATGTATATTGATATTAGTTATTTTATATAATATGTATTTTGATTTTATAAGTATCAAAAAATGTATACATTTGAAATATAATGTCTAAAACGATTGTCACACAAGACTATATAACCTATACAAATTATACATCTTATAAACACATTAGGTAATAAACAATTTTTCTAAGTTTAATATTTACTAATACACAACTTATACAACTAAATCTACTAATTAACACGTATATATACATTACAACAATTAATCTAATTCGGTTTTTGTCTCATCCTGTCCGTTATCAATTTAAAATTCAAAATTTGTTTATATCGACAATTCATGAATATATATATATATATAACGTAACGAAAATAAACGAGAATTATGTTCACCTCTACACCTAATACTAACATTAGATACTTTCATGAACAATTTTTTGTTTTTCTTAAGAATATTTAAAAGATACAATTTAACTTTTATAACCATGATTCTGCATTACTTTCTAGATCATTTCTATACACTTTAACTCAATGAAAAATAACTATCTCGTGCTATAGCACGGGTTAGTACCTAGTAATACATTAATAGTATCATATACTTTAGTATTGCAAAATCTAATAATACTTATAAACGAAGTAGTAAGTAATTTTTTTTCGTAGTAAAGTGACTCGTAGATCATAAGTCATAACGATAACAGAAATCGATGATATTCAATAGAGTAACCGAGAATTACAAATTAACGACTCCAAGTGTACCTTTTGAGCTTATAGAAGAATGTTTCAAAACCTGAAATGGACAGTAATTATTGGGCTTAATCTAGGCTAAATAGAATTGCTTGACGTGTTATATTAACGTAACCTCAGTTACAATTATGAGAGATAGAAATACCCTTTCTTTGGTAACCCTTTTTAAAAATACCCCATTTTCTAACCATTTTCATTTATGCCCTCTTTCAATTTTTAATGACCATTTTACCCCTAATTGAAAAAACTAAAGTCAACAATAAGACAAAAGTGGATTTTCCTGCCAAAAATCTATTCGACAAAATTTTCCCGTCAAAAATTCTCCCAAAAAATTTTCCGCCAAAAAAAAAGTGATCACTTAAGTTTTAGCGGGAAACGTGATCCCGGAAATGTTTGCGGGATATGGATTTACAACGGTTTTAAAAAGATTTTATAAGGGTTTAAAAAAAATTACAAGGGTTTTAAAAGATTTACAAGGGTTTTTAAAAGGGTTTAAAAGGATATACAAATATTTTAAAAGGGTTTTAAAAAGATTAATAAGAGGTTTTAATGTATTTTAAAAGGATTTAAAAAGATTTACAAGGGTTTTAAAAAGATTTTGTAAGGGTTTTAAAAGGTTTTAAAGGGTTTACAAGGCTTTTGAGATATTTACCATGGTTTTTAATGGGTTTTAAAAAGATTTATAAGTGTTTTGAAAGGGTTTTAAAAATATTAATAAGGGGTTTTAAAGGATTTAAAAAGATTTACAAAGGTTTTAAGAGGATTTTATAAGGGGTTTTAAAGGGTTTACAAGGGTTTTAAAAATATGTACAAGGATTTTAAAAGTGTTTTGAAAAAATTTATGAGGGAATTAAAGGATTTTAAAATAATTTAAAAAGATTTACAAGGGTTTTAAAATAATTTTATAAGGGTTTAAAAGAATTTAAAATGTTTACAAGGGTTTTAAAAGACTTACAATGGTTTTAAAATGATTTGTTTAAATAATTTTTTTTGTAAAGTAACTAAATTGTTTAAAAAACCATATACGTATATTTACACACAAAAATGTTTGTTTGACATGTGATTTTAAGAAAATAAAGATAAAGATGATTTTCATATATGGAATCAAGAGCGTTTGGTAATAAGAATAGTATAATTTAAAAAACGAAAAATAAAATTGTTGATAAAAATTGTGGACTTGCCACATAAACACTCAAAACCATCTATTAAATGTGGGTAGAAACTTTTATATAATTTTAAAATAAAAACCTATTAAAAGTTTTTATGTGGCAAGTCCACAATTTATATGTATTTATATGTATAGTACAATTAAGTTTTTATAAATATACCTAAATAAGTTATATATATATATATATATATATATATATATATATATATATATATGTATAACTTGTGGGTCTACGGCTTTACTGTTGCTTGTCTCCCTCGCAATATGTGTCAACAGCCTTGTTAGTGCACTATCCCACACGGCCCTTGTCTCCGCGCTATTCTAATAGTTATCCGATATCTCTTCCGAAGTCAGACCCCCAAATCTAAGTGGCTCGAGTATGAATTAACGTTTCTCTATTTCCCTCCTTTACTACCTTCACGCGGAGATTTACCTCTTCTAGATCTGCTCTTATAGCCATGAAAAGTGTCATGTCTTCATCATCTAGAATATATATCGGGTTTTCTCTTTTCCCGTCTGGTCCCATCATCCACTGAAGTCACTGATAGGTTAGTTCAATATCGTTATTCTCCCGAAGCCCCAACCGATCTTTTACCGCGGTAACAGCCTGCTCATACCCATCTCTCTCTCTCTCTTTCAAACGTACCGCCATGGTAAACCCCTCTAAAGCTAAGACATGTTCGTAGAAACCAATTTCATCTTTTTTCCACTCCCCTCGAACCAAACGCACAACCATTGCCATTCTGTACTTGAAAAAAATACATTCATAACTGTTTTAATACCGATTATCATTTTCATTATAACATAAACTCAACATAACAATTTATGCATTTGCTTCTTTAATTCTTTGGGTCTCTTAAATGCATAGGAGATCAAACAAATAACTTTTCGGCTGTTCGTCGCCATATTAAATGCTAAAACGTTCTCTGCTTTTTAATGGTTATTATGTTTGTTCTGCTAGGCAACGACGATATAGCAGTAATAAATAGCTGAACCCATATATTTTCTATACCGGCAACCCAAGATATTAGTGCCATAATGATTTTGTTGTGCTAAATCTTTATTTTTCCTATGTCGCTGGCATAATCTTACATAATCTTTGGAGCAGTTTTGTCTCGCATTTAATGTTGATATTTAGCAAACAATTCTCTCGACTCTAGCACATGTGAGGGGTGTTTTCGTCATTCATCAAACCTGCAGAAGATACACATTTAATTATTGCTTTATTGTTCCCAGATCTTGCATTATCAGTTCCTCTATGGTTTAATATTTATTTCACCCTAAGTAGTATAAGAATAGTGTAATAAGGTGTTTGGAATAGTAATAAAAAAAATTGTGAAAAATATGGTCTTGTCACATAAGCATTAATTTTTTTTTTTTATATTTAGAATATTGGTCATTTTTTTATTGGTAATTATTGAGAAAATGATAATGGTGATGAAAAGCATATTATAAAACTTAGTATTTATAATAGAGAACTTTGTTAATTTTTAGGTCATATAGAAATTTATTTTTTGTACTAAAATTTCATATGCATTTTTAAAAAACAAAATCATTAAATTTTTAAAATTTCGAAATACTTAAATTAGGAAATAATGGAGGAATTTAAAATTATCAATATATGGTAACTATAAATATTATAAAATATTTATGTCTGTTTAGTTAAAGGTATGAAATATGATAAAAAAAAAAAATTGTGTTTGGTTAATGTGATAGTAGAGTTAAAAAAAATAAAAATGAAAATGCTAAAAAAATTTGTGGGCTTGGCCACATCAGCAACAAAAACTCTCTTTTAATATATAGAGGCTATCTATAATTTATTATAAGCCAAAATGGACGACGATCGAAAACAGTTTTCTTCAAGCCAACACCGGTGATGCTGCAATTCCGACCGGCGCTGGCCTCTCCGGCATCGGTTGGTCCCCTGTTTACCTAGTTTCTGTTTCTTTATTCTCTTATTGTTGTTAGTTTTTTTTTTTTTTAATAAATCGAGATTGTTAGCAACGATGATGAGATCGTGTTCTTCATCGTGCCGGAATGGTGTCTTGCTGTTTTTCAGTGGATCTCTTGTGGTTTCTTGTGTTGTTACACTATTCCTATGTTGGCTCATGTTCTCTAAATGTATGTTGAGTCACCGGTGGTTTCGAATCAATTACTGTCTTTCCATGTCTGGCGATTTCGCCGTGAATTTTCCGGCTTGTTGGCCGTGTGTTCAGTCATACTAACATCTGATGTTAGTTATGTGATAGTTCCCGGGCATCAGTAAAAACTACTATGGGTGTTCCGAAGTTTAACACAAATCCCTTCGGATTTGATATGTAACCATCATCGGCACGGAAACCACCATAGAAACAATATGTTGAGGAGGAGTTGGAGGCCAATAGGAGGAGAATTAGAAGATGGTTTATACCATATCAACTAAAATGGGTTTTAAATACGACCAAGATCAATGATATATCCTTTTACATGAGAGTTTCGATCAGTTCGAAGGTTTTGCGATGTAACAAATGGATCAATGCCTATGATTTTCGTATGCGTTACCGGTATTTCATCATTAAAATGAAGATGATTCCCAAGCAAGAAAGTCACACAAAATGGTCGGAAATAATGAAGAAGATTAAATATTTGACTAAGAAAGCGGCACGTAATTTGTTTTATCGTTTCTTCGTTACACAAACTACTGGTTGTATCTATAATTTCATTAATAATCTTTTTTTTTTTATATTAATAATCTTGTATACTCTAATTTATATATAGAGGATATATGTAAACTCTTTTCGTCATGATTGAACAACTAATAATAAAGTTATTATTTTTTTTTTGGTAGGCATAATAAAGTTATTTTTTAGTTAAGGTGTTGTTGAAAAAAAATATATATAGAGGATAACTAATGTTACCGTTGACGTTGAGAGATTACGAAAAAAGTCACCAAAAAGAAGCTATCGAGCCGATAACGACATACACATTATGTTCGTGACTCACACGGTCACACACACCAGTGGTCACATCCCAATTTCCGATTTTACCCCTGAATGTTTCGTGATATTACCATTTTAGTCCTCACACACTTCCTCGAAAAATTCGCTCTCACTCTTCCAGCTGGAATCCAAAGCAGACAATGAAGACAAAGCTTCTCTCTCTCTCTCTCTCTCTCTCTCTCTCTCTCTCTCTCTTCATCTCTCACTGATTTAATTTGGAATTTCTGCAATTTGTGTGTTTCTTCGGATGATTTCTTCTTAATCTGAAAAAAGTTTTGAAGATCTTTCAATTATTTTTAGCGATGAAATCATCGACTCGGCTTGACTCAGTTGCTTTTCAGCTCACTCCCACTCGAACCCGGTAAGTAAAATTTCGTGTAAACTCTTGTTTTTGTGAGCTTTAGAGAAGTATAATATGGTAATTGATCCAAAATGGTAAACCTTTGTGTGAAATTGTTCTGTGGAAGTCGAAAGATTGCATTTTGGGTTCATTGATGAGATACAAGATTGTTAAAGTGTTAAACTTTGTGTGACTTGTTTGAGAAATTGGGTTCTATGGAAGTCGAAAGGTTGCATTTTTATGTTTATTGAGAAGATCAATAGTTGTTAAAGTGTTAAACTTTGTGTTTCTTTTTTGGGAAATTGGTTCTATGGAAGTTGAAAGTTTGCAGTTTTTATGTTCTTTGATAAGATCAAAACTCTGTGAAAGTGTTAAATTTTGTGAGAAATTGTTCTATGGAAGTTGAAGATTGCATTTTTGTGTTCCTTGATTAGATCAAAAGTTGTTAAAATGTTTAACTTTGTGTTAGTTTTGCGAGAAATTGGTTCTATGGAAGTTGAAAGTTTGCATTTTTTATGATCCTTGATAAGATCAAAAGTCGTTATGATGTTAAGCTTTGTGTTACTTTTGTGAGAAATTGTTGTATGAAAATGGAAATATTGCATTTTTGGGTTCATTAATAAGATCAAAAGTCGTTGAATTTGTAGGTTTGTTACCAAACTTGCAACGAAAAATTAAGTCTTTTCTTTGCATTGATTAGGTAGGTAACAGCTTATGTAAAATAATTTCTCTCTTTTATTGTATAAACTCTTGTATTCGTGAGCTTTGTTTACATAAGCAGAATATTGTTTAAGTTGTTAACTTTGTGAACTTTTGTGAAGAACTGTTCAGTGAAAATTGAAAGACTGTATTTTTATGTTAATTGATAGGTTCAAAAGTCATTGAATTTTTGTGTTGTTTCAGGTGTGATTTGTTGGTAACAGCTAATGGAAAGACTGAGAAAATAGCTACAGGGTTGCTTGATCCATTTCTTGCCCACTTAAAGACTGCAAAAGATCAATTGGAAAAAGGTGGCTACTCGATTATTCTCAAGCCTGAAGCTAGTGACAATGCAGCTTGGTTTACTAAAGGAACAATTGAAAGGTCTCTATCAAATACATTAGTTGTCTTTATATGGAGCTTGTTGTGTTGGGATTGGACACTTTGAGATTAGCTTTTTTTTTTCTTTTGTTCTTGTAGGTTTGTTCGATTTGTGAGCACTCCGGAAGTCATAGAACGTGTTTACACTTTAGAAACTGAGATCATACAGATTAAGGAAGCCATTGGTATTCAGAACAACTCTGAAATGGCATTGACTGTTGTAAGTAAATTAGGATTTTTTGAATAGTTTGTTTGGTGTATGGTCAGAAGTACTTAATGTTATATTGTATTAACAGGTGAGAGACGATCAACGAGCAAAAAAAGCAGATAGTACAGAAGGTATGCTATAACGATTAAATTTTGTAATTTATGAGTCTCTATGCTAAAGCTTTACATTTGGAAAAAAAAAATATTTTTCGTCTAAGCTCATAAAATGGAAAATGGTGTGCATCTTGGCTCTTATCTTTCAGTTTAACCAATTTGTGAGAATGTGAATCAGGTAGCAGGCCTTTGCTACAGCTCAACGAGGAGAAAGCTATTGTCCTTTACGAGGTTAACTAGAACTGAAATTGTTTCTATTATTTAAAGGGTTTTCTTCTCATCTTTTTTCTCTTTGGAACAAACAACTTATATCATCTCCGTGCATTTTGAACAGCCTGATTCACATCCAAAGCAAGCAAATCGGTCTACCTCATCAGATGAAAACTCTAAGTATACCCCCTTTGCATGAGAAATATTTGTTTTCATTGTTATTAACAAAGAGGGTAGTTAAGTATCTGATTGGTAATATGTGGAATTGCTATCAGAGCTCAAGTTATGAAAGTTCTGGAGACACGGAAGATAATGTTGCAAAAAGAACAAGGAATGGCCTTTGCACGTGCTGTGGCAGCTGGTTTTGAGGCTGATGATATGATTCCTCTAATAACTTTCGCCAAAACTTTTGGAGCCACTCGTTTGATGTAAGAAGATTATATTTTTCACCAATTTCTTCCATTTTTCGTAACCAACAAGCTCATATCCATGATTTTTTTCAAGTTTGAAAGAATCTTTTCATAGACTTAGTTCTCATATTTGGCTTCAACAATGTTATAGGGATGCATGTTTGAAATTCATGGACTTGTGGAAGAAAAAGCACGAAACTGGCCAGTGGGTTGAAATTGAAGCAACAGAAGTAATGGCAACACAGCCAAACATCTCTGCAATGAACGACTCAGGGATTATGTTCGCAAATGCTGCTAATATGCCCGGAACACCTGAAAATAGTGGTAAGATGATCCTTATGAGTCATAGTAGCTGAGAGTTGAATACCTACTCTTGCATTGTTTGGCGTTGCTTTTTGCACAATTGATATTCACTTCAAGAAACTTCTTGTATCCAGATGCGAAGTCTCCTTCAGATAATAAACCAAATGGAAATCAAGAATATGTGCAAGGGCAGCATCCACAGCCGATGTATGCACCCTGGCCAGTTCACTCTCCACCGGGTACCTTTCCTGTATTTCAAGGATATACGATGCAGGGCATGCCGTACTACCCGGGCTATCCAGGAGCTAGTCCATATCCATCTCCCTATCCATCTACCGATGATTCTAGACGTAGTTCTGGCCAAAGAAAGGCTCGGAAACATCATTCATCTTGTAGCGAGGACTCCGAATCAGAAGACCAGGAAAGAGAAAATGAAAAATCAGGTAGAAGAAGGAAATCGGGGAAGGTGGTGATTCGGAATATAAATTACATTAATTCAAAGAAGCAAGATCATTCAGGAACAGAATCTGATGCTGATGACCTTCATGAAGAAGGGGCAAGAGAATGTTACAATGGTAAAGAGAGAGCAATAGAAGGAAAAGAAGCTGACACTGGGGATTGGCAGGCCTTTCAGACTTATTTATTGCAAGATGCCGATAGAGATGAACGTACCATTGACCATATGATGGAAAAGGAGATTACAGGGAAGAAGAGGCAAAGTACAGGGAAGTATGATCCTTTAGCACATGATGAACGTGAATCAGGAAAATATCAAGAAAGGGATACAGCTGATATTCGGAATGGTAGTGTGACTCGTAGAATCAGGGGATCTAGTGACTCTTTCATGGTTCACCAGAGAGAAAATGGTTTTGTGAATTCTTCTGATCCTCTCAACTTGAATGGATTTGATAATCCAAGGAATGGTCTGGATAAGAGATCATCATTTAACATGGATGATGATTCTTATATAGTTGCTCGGGGTTCTGCACCTCTAGATGAAGCTGGAAGAAATAAGAGAAATGCCATGGACATCGGATCAGAGATCTCTCCATGCCACCAAACTGATGGAAATGAAAGAAAGCAGGTCAATTATGAGCCTCATGATCTGAGTCTGATACCAGAACGGGAAACAGAGAAGTTATCAGCTGGGTATGATCCTGCACTAGAGTTTGGATCCAAAGCTTTAAAGAAGAATAACCTGGCAGCTGGAGGTGCTAAGAAGTTAGTGAAAGATCCAAAATCGAGAGTTTCTAAAGATGCTGCAGATAAGAGGAAGGCTCCGGGGCCAATACGGAAAGGAAGACCGACAAAGATGAGTCCTTTAGATGAAGCAAGAGCACGTGCTGATAAGCTTAGAAATTTCAAAGCTGACCTCCAGAAAATGAAAAAGGAGAAGGTAAAATCTCGGCTTAAACAATTTGATGATAGAATTGCTTTTTTTGACGAATCATCTAATAAGCACAGTCTCAAAGGATATAAGCCTACTTGTGGTTGAAAATTTGCATCATAAACTCTTATTACCATCCTTTCTTGTTTTAGGAAGAGGAAGAGAGGAAGCGCATCGAAGGTCTGAAAATAGAAAGGCAGAAGCGGATTGCTTCTAAAAGCAACTCAGCTGTAGGTCAGTCACAGTTGCCTGCACAACAAACAAAAAAACAAATTCTAAACAAGTTTTCTCCCGGCGCTCCTCGAGCCTCTAAGTTTAGTGACTCAGAACCAGGATCATCATCACCTCTTCAACGTCTTACCAGAAGAACTGCTTCTTTAGGGTCAAATGACTATCAGAAATTCCCCAAGAATGGTAAACTGAGTACCGTAAGTAAGTCAACAGGAAATATGCTAACAAGGTCGATATCACCGTTACCTCCATCTAAGAGAGAAAGCATAGCAACAGGACATAGGCTAACCAGGTCGATTTCACCTTTACCTCTGTCTAAGAGGGAAACCAGAGTTGGTCTAGATACACAGAACAAGTCGGTTTCAAGGACAAGACGATTATCAGAACCAAAAATGGGTAATAATAGTGCACCAAGTTCGTCAGTGAGGCCACGGCGCACAATAGCATCAAGAAAAGCATCTGACGCTCCTGAGATAAAGAAACTATCTGCCATTGTTAACTATGATATAGCGAAAATTGCATCTCTCCCGGAACTGAAGATAAAACCAATCAAGGGTCCTACTAATGTTATGGTGAAAGGGGTCGAGAAAATTAAGTCTTCAGCTTCTGAGATTGATCCAGGTAACAAGAACAAATCCTTGTGCCAAAATGATATTGAAGAAACTCCAGTGATTGAGAAGACAATAGTGATGGTGTTGCCAAGTTCAGCTCGAAGTATAAGTACAGATCAGGTGAAACACGAGAAGTCTGATGTAGTCTCTGAAAACTCCACCATCCGTCAAGGAGTTGATAAGGAAGCCATTGAAACAATGCAGGAGAGTGGCAATGATCTAGTCTTAGTAAGTACTCTTATTCTAGCTGGGTCAGTTTTATTTTCTGTTTAAACGGTTTTGATGACAGGAATGGTTATTTTGCTTTCAGGTTAGATTGGAGACTCTGAGTGACTTAGTAACAGAAACACCAAAGTTTCTGACAAGTCAAAGTATTGTTACGAAACCATATGAAGCTCCATATGCTCGTGTTTCTTCGTTAGAAGATCCATGTACAGTGTACTCAGACTGTTCCCAAGCACCACCACCAAGCTTATATTCAAATGAGACAGAGCAAGAAACTGTCAAAGTCCTTATTCCCGAGAAGAAGATAAGTGACGCCTCGGAGAAATCTCAAACGAAGGAGTCAGCGTCAAAAGGGCTCAGAAAACTATTGAAATTTGGAAAAAAGAGTCAGTCTTCTTCCGTAAGTGAACACTATACCGAGTCTAATAATGCATCTTTTAATAGCATCGAGGATCATGAACCAGCTGTAACCGCTGCCACGACAAGTGAAGGTAAATACTTGTTACATTCTTTTATCTTTTTCCGTACTTACTGCCGAAGCAAACGTATATTTGGTTTACTTACTTGTAAGTGTCCCACTAAAGTATTTGCTCTAGGATTTAACTTACATTATCCCATAACAGCAAGGGACCTTTTTCACATCAATATGGTCTGTTGAAGTTGAATATGGTTTGGGACAGAGAATAAGATAATCATGACTTGTGTACCTTAACTATTTAAGTTTCTATTTTGTTATGCAGCTTTTACATTGAAGAACCTCATATCTCAAGACGAAACACCTACAGCAGCAGCCGCTTCACAGAAATGTAAGTAAACAACCCTTTCTTTTTCCATAGAAACTTTCTGATTCTACACTTTGATCAATGATCTTAAGTAAGGTCTCACATTCTATTGATCTTTGATAAAATGATGCGAGTCTAAAGAAAGTTTACTCACTTTGTTCATTTTTCTTCTGCGTTTTTTCCAGCTTCTCGCCATTTTTCAATACTGTCTCCCTTCAAGAACAAGAAGACAGTATCCTGAGGACAAAAGAATAGATAAGCTTTGAAAGCTTGTAGTGACAGAGTATTTATGATGTATCCAATATCAAGCCTCTTCTGCAACAATGTCAAAACACTACAATTGATGCAAACATTTGGTTCCAAATGCAATGAAATGTATTTTTTTTTTCTGCCGATAAGCAATCTACTACAAGTTCTTGATTAAAAAAAAAATTTGTAATCTAAAAATTAATCATGTAGATGTGTTTTTAAAAAATTTCTAAAAACTAATACAGAAATCTAAAAAAGAAGAATCTACCTAAATTAACTAAAAAAATCCCCAAAAAAAAAGTTATTTTTATTCAAGTGTATGTGTATCTACTTGTCTAAATTAATCTCTCTCCATCTGTCTTATAAATAGAATCATCTAGAAAATGGACAAACAAAAGATATCCAAAAATCAGATAGAATAAAATTCTACAGGAAAAGTTTTTTAGAGGCAACAAAAGAGAAAAAGCTTGAAGATTATTGCGAATGGATTATTATTCCATTCGATATCTAGAGCATTCTTCTTTTGTATCGAATGGAATATGCTTTTGTCATGTCATGGAGATTCCCTTTGTTTCTTGGTTTCACCATCATTGCTTATATAATCTTAAAACCATTTCTTTAATATAAATCTTTGTTCTGCAAGAAACTAAACCATGGCTCTTGAAACTATGTCATTGTCTTTATCCAATTCTGCCATGTTTTCATCAGGTAATAATATCAAATGAGTTCATGCAAAACCTTATGTTTTTGTTTTTTTGGTTATGATTGGTTTTGTGTTGTTTATTTAAAGGTGTTGTTGAAGATGATAAGAAGCAAGAGGCATTTGTATTCCCTAAATTTGTTGTGATGGGTCATAGAGGTTTTGGGATGAACATGCTTCAATCTCCGGACGAGAAAATGAAATTTATCAAAGAAAATTCTATTCTTTCTTTCAATGTTGCTGCAGATTTCCCTATTGACTTCATTGAGTTCGATGTCCAGGTTTGCTTTTTCCCCTAGAATCTTGATCATTTTTTTGTTTCCATCAAGAAAAAAAAAACACAAATTAGATCAATTATCTTGCCTTAATGATTTGGTTGGCTTATTTGTTAGATAGCCAAATGTTTGGCTAAATTTGGGGGAAAAAGGTGTCCAATAAAGAAAAGGGGGATTAGCAAAAATACCCCTTTTCTCATGCTCCTTTTTAAAAATGCCCCTTTTAGATGTCCATTTTCAAAAATGCCCCTTTTTAAATCTGAAATTTTTATAAAGTTTTATTAGGTTTATAAGGTACTTATGGATTGTAACTACTACTTGAAGACTCGATCCAAGTATTTATAAAGTTTTATAAGGTGTTTTTAAAGGTTTTACAAGTTATTTTAAAGGATTTTTAAGGTTTTTCAAAGGTTTTACAAGATATTTTAAAGGTTTTTAAAGGTATTTAAAATGCATTTATAAGGTATTTATAAAGTATTTATAAGATTTTAGATACATAGAAATGTAGTTTGTGTATGTTTTAATAATATTACATACATATTTGGGTAAATCTTATATTTTTAAGAGCATTTTTTATAAGGTTTTAAAAAAAGGGTATTTTTGAAAAGTGGCATTGAAAAAGTGGCATTATTAACAATTTCCCTAAAGAATATATGTTTTTAGCGAAAATTTTTTTTCCAAATAAATAATGTCATATCATGTTTAAATAGCATGTTATATTAAACAATAACATGATATTTGTTAAAACCCTCATGTAATTATTTTACAAAAAAAAACACACACGGTCATGATTTGGCCTCAATTAATTAGTTTGCATTTGCCTTTGTAGGAGAATCCAAATCTAGTAGGATTTAAGGTCTTAGAGCATTATTAAGCTAGAAAGACAACATAGAAAATGAGATTGAAATGAAATAGCTTTTTAAAGCTTTATTTAGTGCAAGGAAAAGTAAAGGAAATGAACTTTGGATTGTCAACAAGATCAAAATGATTTTAGATTTGATATTTCTTCAAGGAAAAGGAGGAGGCAACTCTTTAATTATTTTTTTAAGTGAAAGTTTTCTTAAAATGTAAATGCAAATTTCGATTTGAAACAATGGCACCATAACTAAAGAATGTATTTGTAGGTAACAAGAGATGGTTGCCCTGTAATTTTCCATGATATCTTTATGTTCACGCAAGAACAGGTTAGGATTTTTAATTTTTCACACAAATAATCTTATTTATAATAGATAAGTATAAGTTTTCATATTAGCAAACGGAAATGTCTTTTCAGGGAGTGATTATTGAGAAAAGAGTAACAGAAATGGCTTTACATGAATTTCTCTCATATGGACCACAAAAGGATGGAACAAATGTAAAGCCTATGTTGAGAAAGACAAAAGATGGTAGAATTTTCGAATGGAAAGTCGAAAAGGATGCTCCTTTGTGTACCCTTGAAGAAGCTTTCGTAAAAGTTAAACACTCACTCGGATTCAATATCGAGCTCAAATTCGATGATAATACCGTTTATGGAGAAGAAGAGTTACGTCAAACTCTTGACAACATCTTGAAGGTAAAAGACTGATTGTTCACCCGTCTGATCTTCTTATGTCTATCAGCAATCTCAATCTTTTACATGAACAGGTTGTAAATGAGCATTCCAAGAACCGGCCCATTATCTTCTCGAGCTTTCATCCTGATGCGGTTCGACTCATTAGAAATATGCAAAGGAGTTACCCTGTAAGATTGCTTCTTTGGTTATAATTTTCTCCATTGCAACTATTAAGGCTTAATTTTTGTACTTGGAAATGCTTATATACGTTTTCAGGTATTCTTCTTAACAAATGGAGGATGTGAAATCTATAAGGATGTGAGAAGGAACTCATTAGATGAGGCCATAAAGCTTTGCAAAGAAAGCGGTTTGCAAGGGATTGTCTCTGAGGTTAAGGCCATATTAAGAACCCCAAACGCAATCACACGAGTCAAAGATTCAAAACTTTCACTTCTGTCTTATGGCCAGCTTAAGTAAAATCCTCTCTAGTTTCATATCGTCGTCATTTCTCTCTCGATTCCTCTGTTTTTTCCTCTGAAACAATCAATCTTTGATTATTTTCAGCAATGTGGTGGAGGTGATTTACTTACAATATCTGATGGGTGTGGAGGGAGTGATTGTTGATATGGTCAAGGATATCTCTGAAGCCATCGCGAATATCGAAGTTACAAACGAGGACGATTGTGAAGATGACGATGGAAGAAAGTGTCAGATTAGGTTTAGAGAGGAGAGGAAAAAGGTGAAAATTTCTAAGGATGAGATCACTTTGTTAACTAAGTTCGTACCAAAACTGCTTCAACAATGAAGATTTCGCTTCATTAACACTTTCGCTTACTTGTAAATAGACTACTTACTTACTTAGGCCATTTAAATAATAATGTGGTGCATAGTTTTTGTATGTATATCTTTCTGATCAATTACTAATCAGCTGCACATGAGACTTTAGTCTCCGGAATTTGTGTGAAAGGACAAATTAAAGTGATATATACTCGAAATTAGTATGATCTAACGACAGATTTGAAACAACAAATCCTAAATCTGTAAACAAGGTAATTGGTGTAATACTGTCTATTTAATACTAAATCTTCAACTTCTTTATTAAATAAAAAGCTCTAACCTTCCTACATGCTAATTTCTGTTTTTGATTGAATCACATAAGACCAAGCAATATCACTTTTCCCTCGGATTGAACGGTTTGCAGCTGCTATTTCTTCATAATTTTCATCGTGTCCTGTTTCCATTACCTATTAAATTCACAAAAAGAAAAGAAAAAACAGATTTCTGTGAGACATAATAGATTCTTACCTCTTACGTGATGCACAACAAACATGAAGATGAATTATTATAATACAAAAACACTTTGAATATTATATTTGATTATGTAGAGCCAAGACAAAGAGGCCACGAGAGTACAGAGATCACAATATTAATATACAATATAATCGTTGAAAGTGATCATGATGATCATACATAAAAACAAATAGGATTTTCCAAAGTAAAGAGAGAGATAGAAAAACCAACTGGCTTGTTTTGGCTAGAGGAGACGAGAGATGGTCACTTCGCAGATGTGTTGAGTCGCCGTGAAAAATAGTCTAAATTAGTCTAAAACGTAAAACCCTATATTTCTTCTCCAAAATCGAATGAATTTTTTAAAACCCACGCCCGGTCGGTTCAACCGGTTCGCTGGGTCGCGGGTTAATGGCGGGTTTTTGTGGGTTTTTCTGGTTTTGAAATTGTTGGATATTAACACTAAACCCAAACCAGTAAAGTGTTCGGGTCGTGGGTTAACCGGTCGGACCGGGCGGTTCGGGTCGGGCGTGAAAACATTGCTTTCTACATATTTTTCTTATATATGTTTTCAATGTACATTCGTTTTAACTTCTTCTTTTTATTTTTCTACTTTTTTTATCAAATGGTTTTAAATATATTTGTTAACCCAAAAAAAGTGATCACAATAGATATTTTAGTTTTTAGGTAAAAATGTTTTGAATTTTGTTAAGACCATTTAAGCAACACTATTAGACTTTAGATATATTATTATATAATTAAATAGAAATAATATATTTGATAATATTAATAAGAAATTTTATATATACGAGCCACATAAAAAATATTTCTGGCTCCTCCATTGCCAATGTTAGAAACTTAGAAATGTGTGTTGTGTGTAGTTACTAGTGATATAAAAAAAAATGACATTCAAAACATGAAAACCAGAATTTTTGTTTGTTGTAATATCACATGGTCCTTTAAAAAATAAATTTATTCTCATAAGAAAAATTTAAAAAAAAAGCATTAAAATACATAACTATATATAAATTTTGTAGAATTTTATGTATCTAATGAAATAAGAAAACTGGAGTTTCATCAAGAAATGTTTTTCTTAATTTTTCATAATTTTGGTTTATATAATAAGACTATTTAATTAACGGTACTACTTTGTTATTAAATATATATATATATATATATATATGTCCAATGCATATATACATAACGTTTGGACTATTAAAATTGATATATAGTATAAATTTAATACGAAAAGATAATTTTAACTTGAAAAATAATTTATTTATTATTTATTTTATATGTAAGTATATTTCAAAAAAAATTACAGTCCTACACCAATAGTTTGTTTAGAGCAATGACAAACAAACTTTCGACAATCACCAATAATTCGTTTTTTTCTCAAACAATGATGTGCACATTCTTGACAGAAACCAATTAAGTTGGTAGCATGTGAAACTCCAAGATGTTCATCCGGTGGAAGATGATCTTCCAAAGATTCTGCCTTGATATTTGACGCACCTACATTATTTCCAAAGTATATGCATATAGATATATTAAATTTTAAAATTAATATTTCAAGAAAATCAAAACAAATGTACATAGTATCGTCACTAATGAAAATTAAACTTACATGATAAAACAAGAATTAGAAGAGCAAGAGTTGAAAACAAAACAATTGTCCTCATTCTAATTTAAAGAGTTCGATAATATTTCAAAGAAAAAGAAAGGTTATCGAATTTCTATTGCCAATTGTTTGACTTTTCGTTGTGTAGCTATTAAAAGCATACATTGTCATATTTATATACTGTTTTACTTAAGTTACACATGAGTTAATTTTTTTATCAACGGTTTTGTTATAAATGAAGGTTAAAGAAACTATTCAATTTTTCAATCACATTTTCATTTTTAACTTATATGTAGAAGTTTATTTATTATATCTAGTAACCAACTTGTTATTTAAGATAAAATAAATTATGTCTTAAAAATTCACTCGATTTGTATAAAATATGAATAAACTACAAAATCCAAACAAAGATTAAATATATCTAAGTTTTTTTGTTTGTTTGATAAAGTAAAATATATCTAAGTTGGTAGTGTTGTAAATTAAATCTATAAACTTGTATGTGTTTAAATATATATATATCAAAGAGTAAGAATAAGAAACTCTTTTTTTATAGGTATACAATATGAATATTGATACAAGAACGTTTGATGGATCCGAGTAATTTTAGTTAAATTCATTTGTAAGACGGTAGGTTACATAAAAACCAATATAAGAAAAAAGTATAAAAATCTTCAACCCTAATATATGCGTTGGTTGGAAAATCCTTTCGAAAGTTATTCAGTTTGAACACCAGTGTCAAATATTGTTACCCCGTACTTTTTTTGATTAAACCAAATTTGTGTTGTATTTGAGTAAAAATTTAAATAAAAATTAAAAAAAAATTCTAGGTTTGTTTTATATTCTATATCATATGAGAATTCTTTGTCTTTAGCATTTTTATTTTTTTGTCGTCAAAATTTTACTAAACACACTAAAAATCCAAAAAAAATTACAATTCTAGAACCTAACAAGATTTAAGAGCATTTACAAAGATTTTTCTAAGCTAATAGAAGAAATAATCATAAGCCCAATTATCAAGATATGTATGCTTGATTGTGGCAACCAGGGCCAGTCCTATGTTTTAGGTGATCTAAACTCTAAAGCACCTTCTATATAAATATTAACGATTAAAAAGTTTATATTAAATATTAAAAAAGTATTTAATATCATTAAATATTTTTAAAAATTGTAAAACAGTCAATTCCTTATGAAATTAACTCTTCCAAATGTATTTGCGGCAAATTTATAGATTTGTCGAGGATATTTTTTTGTTGAATAAGAAACAAATCTCTTATTTATATAAACCAATTTGCAAATATAGGAGATTTTCCTCGCAAATAAGAAAAAGAAAAGAAATCAAACTATTAAACAATAAGTGAACTGAAAAAGATAAAGAAAGAATAAGGAAAGTGTCCATAGATATTTCGAATCTTTCAGTTCTATGAGGTCGTTTAGGTAAAGCGAACCGACATAGATAAAAAAAACAAAAGAAAATGAGTGCTGGAAGAAAAAAAAAACGCATTAAGTACAGGGGAAAGATTCGAACTTGTGTTACCAGAAAAAAAAAGAAAGATTTGAACTTGTACAATTTGTACTGAACATAGGACTACTTAACCATCAAGCCAAATCGATAATTTTCAAATGTGGTATTTCGATTTGCAATATATTTTGTGGCCTAAAGCAAGTACTTTGCTTATGGAGGGGCCGAGATTAGTCGCAACAACTCCGACCAAAGACATATGGATTAGGTTTGATATACATATTTCAACCCATGCTATATCCAGCTGCCGATAAGTTCCTAATAACAATGGAAAAAAAAAAAAAGTTCCTAATAACTATTTTTTCGCTCTTCCTTACACCCTAGTCGAACCGAATTTGCATACTTCTGAACTAAACCAAACCGAATTATATTTCGGATTTATTGACTACAATTTTTTTTCAAATCAAAAACAGAAAAGCGAAAATTTTGACACGAGTCAATCGAATGCCTGTCCACTCCTACATATGCACCAAAGATTAGACTTCTGTGATTGGGCTTTAGATAGTCCGAAACAAATAAACTTTGAAAAACGTAGTAATCTTTTTAAATTTAATAAATTCAAAACAACTATGCAATGCCCTGTCTAACAAGTTCAATTGGGACTTGTGTTCTGAATTTCGTTTTTTTGTGCTCTCGTATGCATCCATATCATATATATACGTACCTAAACCTAGAACCAAAGAAGATATGACTACAAAGAAAGAAATGTGAGGGACGGACATAACCACAATACCACATGCATATTAAATTTCAAAAAAGCCATACAAACTTTATTTCCTCTTGCATGGCATTGTCCGTGTAGGGCATATGATTTTGACTTTGTTTTTTTTTTGTTGCTATGAATGTTAATATCATTAAAAATGAAAAAGTTTGGCTTGAATCCTTGAGAAAAATAAATAAAACGAGATAAAACAATTAGGAAATTGGATGAAAGAGTTTCATCGTATCCAACCAAATTAGATGAAAGATTTTCACTTTGTGCTAGATTTATAAAATCTGGAAAATTTATATTCATCAACATTTCGTTCTTTTCAAAATTACATTTGTAATAAAAAAAAAGAGTGAATTTGTGCAGAAGTAAAAATGGGAACACAAATTAGGGAAAGGGTATTATCAGAAGCTGTCGGCGACGAGGTATTATCAAAAGTTAGAAAAGGGTCACTTTTAGAAGTTATCAGGAAGCGTAAAACGTATGCGCGTGGGTTTGGCTTCTGACACAAAAGTACAATTGAAATGACACATATTAAATGCTTGTCAAGTAACTGACCCTTACGCGCCCCCACATGCGCATGTCCAACATAAGAGCTGCTTAGACATACACATTTTAATATAGACGTCTACATATTTAACAGGAGGAGTAAAACTCAGTGAATATGTAGTTGTACATAACTAGATATACATGTATTTATAAATATAGCTATCTATAGCTAATG